CATGGGAGCTGTAGTGCTAAGTGCCTTTCAAAATGGGATGCTTAGTGGCAAACTATGGCAAACGAGAGTTGTACCCTCTGATGTAGGGTGACCAGATGTCCCGATTTTATAGGGACAGTCCTGATTTTTGGGTCTTTTTCTTATATAGGCTCCTATTACCCCTCACCCCCATCCCGATTTTTCACATTTGCTGTCTGGTCACCCTACTCTGATGACAAGAACAAATTTGACAAAGCGGCCCAAATTCAGCTGAGATAAGTTGAAGTGGACGTGATCTTTATCCTGGAACCATACACACACACTATTAGTTGCTTTTCCTGCTTTACAACCTTCCATCTTTTCAATGTGTAAGTTTCACTCACTTTGTACAACCACTGAATGCCAGATAGGTGCAAGTAACCCTACTCTCTCACTAGCCCCCATGCATTTTATGACAATGTATGCCTAACGTGTATCTTACACTACTATTTATGTCACCACTAAATTTGGCCTAGAGGTTTCCAACTTACTCCAGGTGGAATTTTGCTGATTTTGGTTTCTAGGGCCTGATACAACTCCAATTAAAGTCAGTGGGATTCCTTCCATTTGGCTCTAATGGGATTTGGATCAGGCTCACTGTGTGTAATTTCTCCCCCCAAAGTGTATACTTAAATATGGCTGTAATATAGTATAGAGAATAACATACTGGGCCAGATCCTCCATTCTTGTAAACCAGCATAGCTCTATTTATTGAGTTACATTTACATGAGATAAGGGTATAGGCCCAATATCTCTAATAAGCCCTGAAGCTCTCTATACATTAATTTATGTGAAACACACATCCACTTTTAGTATATTTCACTGTAGTTCCAAAGTCTTATGTAATGACAGTTCAGTCCACATGATTCATACTGCAAATGTTTCTCTGTACATTTATTTCATGTTACCTCTTGAGATAACTTTAATGTATACTACAGTGGTACATCATTTATATATTCCTTTGTGATGCTGTTGCCTGTTAAGGCTGTTTTCTCATATTTCTACACCACAGACTCTTCTATACTAATTCAAATTCAGATTCTGGAGAAAAAAACTCTCTTGTGGAAGCCATGCTTCATAGCAAACAGCGAATAATAAAGATTTATATCATTCTTAAATATCTCCTGGAAATGATTGAATCATAAAGTTTTTCTCATTTTAGTTTTAATTCACTTGGTAGCAATATGAAAATTCCTTCATGTCAACACTGAAGTCTGACTAATAAGCTTTACACTTGCTGGATCCAAATTCTTACTGTTTCTGAAGTTCTCATCCAACAGCGTCACTGAATCAGTTCAACAATACTGTCTCAGTCAGATCCTGGACTATAATATGTAGGGGAAAGATTGTTTTTTTATTTGTTTGTTTTTCAGATGAGAAGAATGCAATGTGCTATTTCATTTATTTATTGTTTTATCAGATTGCCAGCTTCTGGACTCATTAACACCAGTGTGAATCTGGAGTAATTTGAAGCCAGAAGAGTTACTCTGGTGTAAATGAGATGATAATACAAATTATATATGTATTATTGTAATTTTCCATGGCAGAACACAGTATAAAACAATGAACACATTTAGGAGGCAACAAAACATCATTTTTATATATAGAAAGAATGGGTAGTAAATGCCTAACACTATGTCATAACAAATTATAATAAAATACAAAAATAGTGAAAGCAGCCTGGGGAAAAGACAAGAAGAGGCTGTAGAGTACCGTTAGGCTGAATATCAGGAAATAACTTACCAACAATGAGTTTTATTAGTCTGTGGGATAGTCTCTAAGGGGAAAGTGGTGGAAGCTGCATCATTTGAAAAATTTAAAGTTAGATTACAAAAAAAAACCCACTATAAATTACACTATAGGGAATAATCCTGCATTGGCAGGGGGATGAACTTAATATATGTTTTGCTAACTTTCCATCTCTAACTTGTATGACAAAATCAAAAATCCAGATACTAATTGCTTTTGAAATGAGAGCCACTATGTGACAAAGGGTAGAAGCGTCACCTGAACACCAGCAGACAAGAAGTTAACTCTCTCCCACAGTAGTATAGAAGGGTACAATGAACCAGGTCTGGGACTAAGACCAGGTCCAAAGTCCATTGACTTCAAGAGGCTTTGGATCATGTCTTAGAGGTTTGTGTCTACACTACCACTTATGTCGGTATAACTTATGTCACTCTGGAGTGTGAATAAGCCACCCCACCTGAGTGACATACATTACGCTGACCTGAGCACCAGTGTGGACAGTGCTATGTGAGCAGGAGAGCTTCTCCCGCCAACATAGCTACTGCTGCTTGTTGGGGGTGGATTAATTAAGTTGCTGGGAGAGCTCTCTCCTGGCAGCTTAGAGTGGCCATGCTAGAAAGCTTACAGCGGCGCAACTGCATGGGTGCAGCTGTAAGATGTGCAGCTGTAAGCTCTCCAGGGTAGCCATAACCAATGGGAGAGAGCGCTCACCCAGGAGGAGAGACAGAACTGAAGAGACAGAGCTGTATATCCAGTTTCTGGAAGGCTGGGTTACAGTCTGAGCTGGGGTTTCTCCAACCTTACATAAAAACCTTTTGGTTTTTTTGTGATTATCCTATCCACATTAAGAGCCTGATTCAGATCTCACAACTAGGTAAATCCAGAAAAACTCCAAATGTATTCAGGTGTGACAGAATTTTACAAAGTTTGGCTGACTTCTGTTTCAGGACCATGTAGCCCACTCCAACAATTTACACATCTATGGTATTTGAATAACTTTAATAAAAATCAGATCATTTGATTCTGCTCCCCTTTCTATCAGTGTGAATCAGGTGTAATTCGAGCAAAGTCAATGCAGTTATACCAATGTAAGAACAGTGTAAGGGAGATCAGAGTCAGGTCCAAAATGTTGCCCTCAGAATAAGGAAACATTCTATTTCTATTAGAGCCCATCAGAAAAGGTTAAGTATTTTCAGTGAAAATTTTCAAATGAAATGATTTGATTCAAAAATTTTCAATGTCTTTTGTTTGTTTCTCTATGAAAAATGAAAAGTTTTTCATTGTTTTCAGTTTGTGAAAACTATTTTTTTTTCATTTTTCATTTTCATAAAATGTTGAAAGAAAAATGTTTAGAAAAAAAGGCCATTTTAATTGAAAACATTTTTGAATGAAATATTTCAACCTTTTCTAATTTCTGTCTTCAGCTACTAATTCAAACTGAGAGCTTGATTCAATTTAAAGGTATCCTGTCTTTCACACTTCAGAAATCTTTGCAACTTGTTCTTTGGTTTTCATATGATGATATATATTTTAAATGGAATTATGCCCCCAAAAGAAAAGCTACTGTAGGCTAGGAGTGTGAAAAACTAATTAATAGTGTAACACTTCATTATCTTGATTTCCTCTCCTCCTCCCTCCCCTCTCCCCGCTATTCTGTTTGCTGGTTTAAATGACAAATTGGGTAAAACTTACCCCTATGCAGAGGTCCAGCACAAGGCCTTTGTAGCACTTAAAATCCCATTTATGTCCTCAAAATAGTGTGGACCCTTAGGTGAAATTCACACACACACACACCCCCCACAGCTATTGATCCAAGTCTCCTTATTCTAGACTATGTACGCATGCTGAGGAATTTTCACAGAGGTGGAGCTCTTATAAACCAGAATTCTAATTTGTTACACCCTAGATGAAAGATGTCTAGCATTTTGTGATGTGTATTAATCAAAACACCTTTCATTACCTGAATTAAGCTGTGGCTGTCATAGAACTTGCTGGTTTATGATTCCCAGATGCCATTTGTTTTACTATGCGATGTAGGACATGAGATGAAAAGAAGTGAGTGTGAAATTACCAGCTGAAATACCAGATGAAGACATTAGAGAAGTTACATTTTACTTGGGTGGGATCACATTTCTCACTGTGTATCAGGAAAAAGAAAAGACTTTTAACAAATAAGATTGCAATGTTCCACCACTTAATACTTGATTGCGACCTATATCACATGCTGTGCGCACGCGCACACACAATAATAATAACAATTCAGTTATAAGAGTGCAATAGATTAAATATGCATACTTAGTTCATGAAAATAAGGGGCAGATAACTTAGCATTAGAACCAAGCATGGTGCAGATAGGCAGTGTTCAAGTTTCGCAGCCCAGCTCTGTTAATGCAAGTGAGTCCTGACAAGCAACATGTTTATTTTTTAATGTCCAAGTGTCTCCTAAATACAGATTACAAGCATAACAAATAGTGTGGTTAATTTGGACCCAACAGGAATGCAAATTAATAATAATGATTATAATACCTCCAGACCTCCATTTGTATTTTCACTTGCCCTTTTTATCTGGTTCAGGCTACCATCATTATTTTAGATGCCCCTCCTTTTAGGCCCACAGTACTTTATTCTTTTTATCTATTACTGTTGTACATTATAGTGTGTGTCAAAAATGCTAAATCATACCACTGACACTGAAGGGAGCTTCATTTTATTAAAGAAATTAACTCCACATCTCATTTAACAACGTTGGGCAGATTATATTGTTTTGGATGTTGACCCTTTCTAGAGCTAGGGCCCCTTCTCCAGAATAAATCAGAAGCCAGTTTTTACAACATCAAAAGCTGCTTCGTTACTAAATATGCTTTCAACAAATACAGCTAAAAAACATCCAGTTTTACTAAGGAGCTTATCAATAAACATCTAAAGAACAACATCACCCCCTGCAGTAAGGCTAGAAGAACATATAGTGAACATTTGAAAAAAATGCAAAATCTAACTGGGTGCTGCTCCATTTCCTTACATGCAATTACTTTTCTGTCTCCCCTGCTCATACCCCACTTTTTTGCACAAACCTGCAGTGCAAACCAGAAGCTACTGAGTCTTCCCATTCTTGTTGTAAACTAGGCTGCAAATGATGTTACTTGTATTTACAGGAAGCACAACGTGTTCAAACAGAAATGTGATTTTCAACTTGATGGTAGCCCTTCAAGATTTTGTCTTTTATGCAATTTCAGATGCTACACAACAAACATGTGATGGTTCGTGTAGGAGGAGGATGGGAGACTTTTGCAGGGTACTTGCTGAAACATGACCCATGCCGAATAATGCAGATCTCTCGGGTGGATGGGAAAACCTCTCCAATCCAGAGCAAGTCTCCGACCATCAAGGACATGAATCCAGACAATTACTTGGTTGTTTCTGCCCATTACAAAACCAAGAAGGAGATTAAGTGAAATTAGCTTCTCATTTGACTGGGACTATATATATGTAGGTCCAAATTATCTTGAGTGTAGTAAATTTAGTTCATGCTTTGAAAGGACTTCAGAAAATTTAACAGACTGAAAATGGCAACCTGCTTTGAAGATCTTTGAACTGTAGAACTATTTATTTCTAGTACTGTACCTTTTATAGCAAATTACCATTGATAGGTTAATTACTACAATCAGATAAGAAATAGACATATATTTTTAGCCAAATCATTACTCTTAAATATGTGAATGTATACTTAGAATGATTTAAAGGATGTGGTTCATGTTAAAGGGAAACTGCAGTACAATATATTTCTATGAAAAACCTGTGACATTGAGTCCATGACTGTTTTTAGGTTAGTTGGAAAAGATATATGTAGGCTGAGTGTGCAGAGTGATAAAAGCTATTTGCTAACGCTTTCTGCCTACAAACTAAAATCAAAATGGACTATTTTTTATAGATTGCAAGATTCCCTTAAGCAATAATTTTAAAAAAAGGATTATTGTGTGCTGTACAGTTCCCTAAAAAGGCCACTTTAAAAAGTTTGTATGTCCTTAAGCTACTTTGACAAAGTCAATTTTAAGATCCAGATCCACAAAGGGATTTAGGCACCTACGCCCCAGATGTAGGCACCACTGCAGTACACAAAACCTGCTTGGCTGCCACCTAATCCTTTGGGTGCCTAAACTCAATTTTTTTTATAAAAGTTCCCTAGGCACCTAAGTTCCTGCCTCTGGGCATGCGCACAACCTCACATCAGACATCTGGATGCCTATCTCATGCCCCAGCAGGGTCCTCAGATGAGGCTAAGATAAGCGTTCCCCTGCCTAGCTCACTAACAGCCTGCCTACCAAATTGGGGTGCATTCAAAGTCCCACCGGCTGTGGAAGTGGTGGCAATGCCACCTCCCCCCTTAAAACATTTAGCTCAGTAGTTAGAGCACTCACCTGGGATGTGGGAGACCCGTGTTCAGTTGCCCCCCTCTGCCTTTTTGGAGGAAAGGATTTTTGAAGAGGGGGTCTCCCACCACACTGGTAAGTGTCTTAATCACTATGGGATGTTCTGATGTGGGACTCCCTAAAACTCTCCTGTTGAAGCTGTTCCACTCTGGAAAAATAATTAGTCATTGGAGCACAGGTAGTGGACTCTGGGTCTCCCATCTCCCAAGGGAGTCCCCCCATTTCCAGGTTCATTCTCAGTTTAGCACTCTGGCCCAGTGACTATGTATTTATACAAGGTAGAGCAGCTTCAACAGGAGAAACTGAGGAAGTCACACATCAGGCTATCCTGTAGCCCAGTGGTTAGGGCATGTCTCCAAGAGGTGTGAGGCCCCTGTTCAAAATCCTTTCTCTCCACCAGACAGAGAGGGACATTGAATGCAGCTCTCCCATATGTTGGGCAAATGATCTAATCACTGGCTAAAAGCTATAAGGTAGGCAGGACCCCCACCTCTATCAGTATTTCTTGCAAGAAATGGCTTAGGTGCCTGATCCCAGGAGAAGGTTACCCAGCTCTGGCTCACAAGCAGAGATAGGACTGCCCTACAGCCTAGACTTAGCTGCCTAACTTAGTAGAGGGGTGAGGCTTAACACACACGCCTCTTCTCAACATCTCCTTAGTTTAGGTGGCTCCCCACCTGGCATGCTTTTTTTTGTGAATCCCATTCTTAGGTGCCTAACTCTCTGTATGCCTTTTATAGGGAGCGTAGGTGCCTAACTCAGGGTTTGTGGATTTCAGTGATTTTTCTAGGTGCCTAAAAGTTAGTCTTTGCAATGCTGACCATTGAAATGCCTAAGTTCCTTTGTGGATCCAGACCTGAATCCACCTGGTCCTTTCACGGGTGCCCAATGATGGGAGGATATAAGAAGCAATAGGGACGAGTGGGGCTTGCTTCCTCTCCCATCAGTAGAAATGGTTGATTACACCAGGGGATGTAAACGACAATGCACAAAGGGACAGTGCAGACTGCGTGTGCATGGGCACTCCGGTTTAACTATGTTGGTCGGGTGTGAAAAATCCACTCCCCTGAGCAGCGCTGTTAAACCAACTTAATTCTCCATGTAGACAGTGCTAGGTCATCATAAGAAGTCTTCCATCAAACTAGCTACCACTTCTCGGGGAGGTGGATTACCTATGCTGATGGGAGAATGCCTCCTGTCAACGTAGGTAGTGTCTAGACTGAAATGCTATAGTAATGCAGGTGCAGCAGCACAGCTGTAATGGTGCAGTAGCACAGCTGTAATGCTGTAGCATTTTAAGTGTAGACAAGCCTTGAGTCAGAATGCCACCTGGTGTGTCCCTTGCGGCAATTCACCGTCATACTGCCCCTTACTTTGGGTTTGCCTGAAAGGCACAGTCTAGCCCTACTTTTATTCAATTAATTGGGTCAAATATGAAAAGATCCATTGCCCACTCTTTAGAGCAATTCAGATTCTTGTAAATCATTCACATGCCTCTAAAAATATATATGGGGATTGTGTGTGGGAGGGCGGGGGTTTGTTTACTTTTCCTTGTTTATATTTTGTGACTTCTGTGCCTTGTAACTTCCTAGAAAAATCATTTTATAGGATTATTGAATGGCTATAAATTTGAGCAGAAATCAGTTGTTTCATTAGCAATGGAATAAACAGAAACTTTTTTAAAATACTCATAAAAGTTTTTTTTTAAGTCTCATTTATTGTTTGCAACATATGATCCCCCACTGTAATCACACACACACACACACACACACACACACAAAGAAAGCAAGCTGCTTACTGGACTGCTGCTATGTGCAACCAAAATGTGAAAGAACAGAAATTGATGCACACTGAAATTTTCAGCAGGTGACATAAACAAGACATGGATTCTGTTGAAAATCCCTTTAAAGGAACTTTCTCATTTTTGGAGGGTGGGGGAGAAGTTGATTTTTCTTTTTAAGCAGTTTTTAAAGTTACAATCAATGTTTTCTGTTGGTTGTCACTTTAAATTGGAATGCCTAAATATGAGTCTGATCCCCTTTCCATTAAAAATCAATGGCAAAAATGTCCATTGACTTCAACGGGGCAGGGTCAAACCTAAGTGAAATCCTGGCCTCATTAAAAGCAGTAGGATCTTTACCATTAACTTAAATGGGCCCAGGATTTTCCCCACTGTCCATATGTATCTACTAAATACAGACAAAGCACATTTGCTTAGTTGTTTACATTTAGAAATGATAACTTGTACCGTAAGTTGCATGTGACTTATTTTCAATAATTTTCTATTGAGAGTAACTATTTGCATTAGCAGTAAATGAGTAAGAAGGTAGTTAGCCTCAGTGAGAGCCTGCTCTGAAAGGAGCCAAGCAACTGCAACCCTCATTGAGTGGTGGGTGTTCAGCCACTCTCAGGATCATTCCCTTGGTGACACATAGGTGTAAAAATGCTGTGTACCAGAAGGAAAACATTTTCTTAGCAATCACAGCAAGAGACCTGATTTCAAATGAGCTGAGTGCAGGACCGAACCCTTCAAAATGAAGTCTTTGTGTCCAAGTTTCAGTTTAAAATAAGTGACAATTTCATTATTTAAAAAATAAATGAGGGTATCTCTATATTACAATAAAACACCTGTGGCTGGCCCATGTCAGCTGACTTGGGCTCGCAGGGCTCGGACTACAGGACTACAAAATTGCTGCACAGACATTCAGGTTCTGCTAATGACTGAGCTCTGGTCTCTCCACCCCTTGCAGGATCCCTCAGTTTAAAAAAATGTCACAAAATCTTCATGACAGAGAAGAGCACCAGTCCTCAATTATGGATGTGTTGTATAAGATTTATTTTGCATCTCTAGGCTCCAGCTATTCTTGGCTGCTAGAAGAGCATCTTCTAACTATAGAGAGACAAGATGGCTGAGGTAATATCTTTTAGTGGACCAAATTCTGTTGGTGAGAGAGACAAGCTTTCGAGCCAACAGAAGTTGGTCCAATAAAAGATATTACCTCATCCATCTTGTCTCTGTAATAGCCTGGGACCGACATGGCTACAACTAGACATCTAACTATAGACAGCTCAGCATAGGTTAGAGCAGCACTGAGGTGACTTATGCTGGGGTTGAATCAGCCCCCGTATTCGAGAGCCACAAAGGTGGCATAAAGCCATTTTACACCTGTTCACGCCTTATACAGTTCAGCTAGATGTGTGAATTGGGCCAGTTGGGGGTGTCACACAGCACACCACAAATCAAACTGTAATCGTCTGTGAAAGTTTTAGTCCTGGAAAACTACAGGAAACCAAACACCTACAACTGGGGAAAAAGAAGAAAAATGTATTCAAACTCCCAGGGTAGGTTAAAGCAAGATTGATAGGCAAACTGTTTACGATGGGACATAAATCAGCAACTACCCCAGACATTGAGGGGGACCTGCACCAATCTAAACTACACAGTTCTTTATGCTATAAAGGCACTTGCAAAATGCCTCCTATAGGCAGTTGCAGAAGGATTAGAAAGTGTGAGAAGATGCAGTTTTTTTGGTGCTTTAGCCTGGAAACTGATGTCAACATGGCTGGTGGCCATTATGGGAGTTATCGTCTCCCACCAGGTACCCATGCATGTGTGCTCTTTATGCCACCCAAGGTGGAGTTCCCATACATTCTACTGGGGATGAGGCACCTACTACTGATCTTCACCCGTCCCCATCATTCCCTGCCCCTACCCCCACCCCCCGACCCCTGTCTTTAGGGTTCAGACCTCTCCCTGCTATTATCCCTTCCCTGTAGACCTGGAGAAGGCACGCTTCTTGGGATCAATCAAAGCAAATGCCATATCCTCTTTCCCACTCCTTCCTCCCCTTGACCAAAGGGAAGCCGCAGGGCTATTGGGGTTCAGAACTGGCCAGAAGTAGAGTGTGATTAGGCAGATGCCTTTGGGAGGGGGAGGTTGTTGTACTGGGCTGGGCCTGGCCCAGGCCTCTACCTGGGTGGGTTGGGCGTCTCCCTATTAGTTCTGGCTGCCTGGCCTCCCACTGTAAAAGCAGCTCTGTCAGTACCTGAGGAACTGCTACCAGTCCAGGGGCCCCAGGGCACTGAAAGGCTGCTGCCCACCTGGCAGACCCAAATCCCCAAAGCTCCTGAGAACCAGAGGACTTAGCTTCTTGAGGAACCACCACCTTTCAATTGTCCCCAGCCCCCTGCAGAGTCACAGCTGCCTCCTTCCCTCATAGCCTGTCCCACTGGATGTGCCCACTGTCCTTATAATCCCTGCTCCATTCCTAGTGTGGTGCTCCTCACTGGCAGAGAAGGAGTTAATAGAACCCGGGGGGGGGGGGGGGGGCGGGGGGGGCAGCCAATAGGAGGGGGGGGGGGGGGAACAGGGCCACATTAAAAGAGCCGCAGGGTGGAGCAAGGCTAGTTGCTGCTTGGAGTCCAGGAAATAAAGACTGCATCCTTGGAGGGCTGAGAGAACTGAAAGCACCTTGGATAGAGCAGTGGCTGGCTCCGGAGACTGAGCAGCTGAGGCCCTGAGACAAGGGTGAAGAAGGTGCAGGGGCCATGGAGAAGTGGCCCAGGGAAATAGAGTAGCATTGACTGAGGTTACAGAGGAGCAGCCGGAGGTTGCTATTTATAGAGTCCCTGGGTAGTGGCCTGGAGTAGTGGGTGGGCCTGGGTCCCCCCACTTGCCTCTGGGGAAGTGGCTGGACTGTTGGACAGAGATATCTACTCCTGGAAGGGGGAAACCCAGATGATGATCTAGCCGGAGGGCCGAGTTGAAATGAGGACGCTGCGTATCTGGTAGCTGAGAGGAGCCATAGGTGGGAGCAGAGACAGAGTGCCATTGTGCAAGGTGTGGGTGTCAGCCTTGAGTTAATTCTTAGCATGATCAGGAGGAGATGCCAGTCTGGTGATGAGGACTATACCCTGTGAAACCTAATCTATTAATGGAGTGGGGGTGTGAGGGCATGCAGGCCATTGGGGAGGGCTGGGGTTTCCCTGGGGAGGATTGTAGTGCCTGCCTCTGAGGCAGGAGAAGGAGGGAGTGAAGATCCAGAGTGCCTTTCATATGGGGGTGCAAGGAGAGGGTCATGATACACTGCAAGGTAGAGAGATCAGCACTCTATTCTCAGGTAGAGGAAGGGGCTGCACCCTGTTCTTCAACTGACTGGTTGATCAGTGGTTTGCATCCATTTTCAGTTGTCCATCAGTTTCTCCAAACAAAGTCCTTTTGTGGCATGAGCATTTGCCTGATCTGTAGCACAACTTGGGTCTGAATCCATTACTCATGAACTAATGCCCCCAACCCTGTGGAATTCAGCAGCTGTGCAATGTTATTGCTGGAGGCTCCTGGACTAAGCTCTGTCCTTCAGTTCAGGCTACCAGATTTTCTGCCTCTGGCAGTGGAACAAATTGGCAGTTCAGTTTCTAGTTCTTACGTTTTTTTTAGAGACAAAGTGGGTGCAGTAATATCGTTTACTGGACCAACTGCTGTTGGGAGAGACAAGCTTTCAAGCCACACAGTTTTAAACCTTTATTTTATTCATTTTCATGCAGGTGCAACTTCTAATATTCCTCTTTCTTACCTGGATTGGATAAATAGCAGCATGGTGACTTCAACTACCTGGATCTGCTGCTGCAGTGCCTCCCCGTGGACTCCTCTGCCCCCACTTGGGCATGAGCTGTCTTGCAGACACTCAGCTAAATCTAAGCAGTGTTCCCAACATGAGACTGCGCTTACAGGCTTTACAGAAGGTGAATTATGCCCTGCCTGAGGCCAGCTAACTGAGCCTTGCATTGGTAGGGCACAGAGCTCAAATTGAGACTATCATACTGGGTCCCCATCCTGTCCTGAAGAGTCATGACTCCAATGCAGAAAAGCCCAGTCAGAAACTTCTAACTGTTTGGAGAAAGAGTCTGAGGATGAGGAGGAGTCTATCTGGCCAGCTCAGGAGATGAGTCCTGCAACAGTCCAGAGGCTGGAGAGGGAAAAACCCCTGAAAGGATCCACCGTCCTCCACCCCTAGATACTGAAATGGGTGCTCAGCTTCCTGGACAAGAACCAGGGCTCCTACAAAGCTCTCTGTCCTCCCACTGTGAATCGGGGAATTCTCAGGGATAAGTCCTGCAAATCCCAGAGACTCCCAAAAGCAAGTGTGTACTTCGCAAGTTAGTGATTTGGAGAGGAAGCGTTTTCTGGGACTTTTCTCCTTCACAGCGCTCTGTCATGCTCCTATACCCTGCAGCATGTCTGGACATGTAGAGAAGCCAGTGCCTCCTGGGCAGCTCTGTCAGGTGGCAGCCTGGTGGAAATGGAGCCTGTATGCCTTTCAGTCCAAGGACCCTTACTTTGTCAGGGAAAGGGACTCAGATTCTGAAAGGCAGGAGTCTCCCCCTCCCCCACCCCCTTCCCTCCCTTCCTCCATAGAGTGGCTCCACATTAAAGCCTTAGGAGCACTTCAGGCAGCTTCTGACCAGAACAGTAGTGCCAGAGGATTCCATTCCTCCTGAAGATGCATCATCATGGGATTGCAGGGAGATAAGTGAGAAATCATTTCCCATGTTCACAATGATTCCGATTGACTGAGCAAAGCCCTGAGTGGAAGACTCTTGCCTCCACAGTAACCAGGCCAGGGGAAAAGGCAGGCAGCCTTTTAGATTCCTAGGGATATCTAGCAAGCTACTTCCACAGCTGAGGTATGTGTGTGC